GGCTTCGGCTAGAGCGGCCGCATGAAATGAGTTTCATCACCGCCGCAGAGGTTACGATGGCGTTGTTGGCCGGCGAGGTCGAACTCACGGGCAGATGTGACTGGGACGGGGATTGCCACGGGCTAGCTCCTCGCGATGATCGTCGTTGGTCAGTTGAGAGCGGTGCAAGTGTTTGGGCAGGCCCAATTTGATCCAGCTAGTGTTCTCGCAGATGACTTTCGCGAGAATTCCGTGGATCTGGCGCAGTCGTGTTGACGCCGGTCGGATCACGGTTCCAGCGCGGCAAGAGGCGCGTGCCATGGGGGTGATGCCGGCAGCGAGCCGGCGCCGTCGAGGATTGAACCTCTCGCCGGTCTGTAGTCGGAGGCATCGGACTCGAGAAAGAACGGCTACGGGGCCCAGATCCTCGGGCTTGTCCCAGCTTTCCGGTGGGCAGGAGTCGCCTGACTGGGGCAGGTGCGATTGTTTCGGCGCCCGGGTCGATTGTTGGTATGATGCCGGGGGCGTTCTGTTTGCGGTGATGCCTTACGGGCGAGGCTGAACGACATGACCGGGGTCATCTAATCACCGCCGCCCTTGGAGAGCGTACATATATATGTCGCGACCCACCCCGGAGGCCTAACCGGAAGCCACTTTGATGATCTTTCCCTTACCGGCGTCGGCCATGGGCTTGGGGGGGGGCGTGGTCTGCGGGGTGCATGTAGAAAGGCGGCCGGAGAGGTTGACGGACATCGCTGATTCCCATCGTCGTCGGTGATCATCCCAATGTGTTTGAGCACGTTTCTCTGGGCCATGGAGCGTTGTTGTGAGTTCAAGTCGAACCGCGTCCAAAATGGGCATGGCAGCCGCGACCAGGGCGTCGACATCCGCGACTTGGAGACTGGTGTTGCAACTGCGATGGGTCCTGGTGGCCGTGGGTATGACTCTTCGCGGGCGGGCCTCGATGGGGCCAGGTCTGCGACCAGGGATGACGAGGTTGGCGCCGGAGGCTGGGTGAGGGGCGCGCACCATTTCCAACCCAACCGGTGCCGCCCCCGGTATTACAACCACTGTTGCTTCGATTTAGAGGTTTTCAAGGGCATTGGGGACGTTCTCTCCTTGAGCTGCACGGAGGTTAATGTCTCGGGCGGTAAGGTTCACACTCTCCCTCGTCTTACGGAGCATCAATTGCCGAGAATCGTCGATATCCTCGGCGAGACCGACTTGGAAGTACCGTGGTGAGTTCACTGTACGCGTTGGCGCCAACGTATCCAGCCAACGGCGCCATTCCGGATGGGCGAACGTCCGCGGCGGACGTCCAGGTACAGGGCGGTCCATGTGCTAGGAGGATGCGGCGAGCAATTCGGATGCGGTCCAACTTGGGGTTCGCGAGTTCGTTCAGCTGGTGGGCGGTGGCAGCGATTTCAGCGTCTGTTGAAACGTCCAGGCCACGTTGACTCCAATGCCAACGACCGCTTGCTGTATCAGGAGCCGGACAATGGCGCTTTCGGCGAGATACCGCGACGTTCAACAAACCGCCGATGGTCTATGTCATTCGGCCATTGATGCGTGGAGACAGTCCCCGCCACCTGACGAATCGAAGGACGACGGCCACACGGCCAACGGCTGAGACGCAACTGCATCGGTTCGGCGGAACCGGACGGAGAGTACGGTTGCCTTCAACACAGATGGCCGCGACGGAGATCCACCGTCGGCCCAGGCGACCGCGGCTGCGGTCTGGTCTCGGCGACGACACAGCGCCCTCTTCGCACCGGCGCAGCATTCGCAGCATCGTCCATGGTGCCGGTGGACTGGTAGAAGCGCACGCTAACGACGGACGGCGATGATGTGTAACAGTGCCGGCGCGGAGCATTTGAGCGACGATCGCGTAGGGGATCATCAGACGCTTGGATTCATCGCGTAGTGCGCCTACTAAAGCGGAGGTGACCTCCCTTACAAGAACTGATTCGCGCCAGCATGGATCGAGTGGCGATTCTCAGAGATTGCCGCGTCGCTTTCCGACACGCGCTTGCTTTTCGATTCGTAGGACCGTAGTGATTCCGACCGGCTGGAAAACGCGCGCGCCGTCCAGGCGATGGTCCGCCCACCCTCCTACCAAAGTGATTCTCTGGAGACAGTGGAAAGCGAGTTTAGATATGACGTCCGTCCGATCAACGACCTTGTGTGACCGCTTCTCAGAAGTAATGAAGTCACCAACCTGGCCAGACGCCCGACTTCCCATTCCAAACTTCGTAGATCCGCCATCCCGGTCAGATGATGGGAGTGCGCAAAGGTCTCTTCGCGTGCATTGACACCAAGCGTCACAAAAGGAAAAACAACGCCGACTTTACCCTCGGCTGCGAGATATCGATGCCCTGTTCTTGTACGTTTGGATCATGTTTTGTCGCCCAATGATCCTGCTCAATGTGTTCAAATAGATCCTCGCTTCGGAGTCTCACCATTGCGCTACCATATGCAAGCAACGGCTCTAACTCGGCGTACATCACTGGCGCATGCGCGCCGCAGCTTGTCAAGGACTCCCCAAGCGTTCGTCTCAATTCGTCGCTCAAAATGTCTTCCACTTCCTGGGAATACATAAATCTTTATACGGGGGCGTGTCGGACACGACCGAACTTAGGTTTTATGGTTCATCCGAAACAATCGATATGTTAAATGTGCTGGCCGGTTGGCGACCATGCTCGCAAATAATTTCTGGCCAATAGTGGTTATGCTCAGTTTGCTCATGGGCGATTTTTGCAGCTCAGTCCTCACGACCTGTCAGAAATAAGCATCCGTTTCGAAGATCATCATCGGCGCAACTTTGTCGTTATGTCGGATCCGAAGATCGATACAGGCGAGCGCGCGCTACGCGTGTCGTAGCGGTCCTGCAGGATCCGTTCGAGGAGGGGGGCGATGGGTCAAGCGCTGTGTCATGTGGCGCTGGTCTGTGGGTCATGAGGGTGTTGGTCTCTCTGTTTGGTATCTCGTTGCTGGGTAGGTCGGTGACGCGTGGTCGTCGAGGGTGTCGTCGGCTTGGGGTGGTCTCAACATCATGGGGCATCTTTTCGGGGAGGTCACTCTCATCAGAGTCGTTTGTTGTGGATCCAAAAAGTGTAATGCTCCGAATGTGCATTTTACTGTTTGCGTGGGTTCTCTTTGTCTTGTTGCTGCTGTGTATGGGGTCGGCGCCCGATGCTCGGCTGTCGTCAAACTGGGTGCGGAAACGGCGTGGTTCTTTTGTTTGCAGTTATGTCTGGTGTTACACGCTTGCGTGAGGCTGCGTGTGTGGGGCCATGCTGGCGTTGCACCGTATGGGGAAGCACGCGACGTTACGTGGTTCCGGCGGTCGCGGTTTGGGCTCGCTGGAAACTGGTAGCCGGGGGGTGGGTGGTGCATACCGTGCGCGGGGGTGTAGGTCAAGTGTTGTTTTTGTGTTTTTGCTGTGGGTTCTGTGTGGCCGTGTGTGCGTAGGATTGTCTGTCTGGTCTGTTGTTCGGGGTAGGACCTGTTTCCGACGGCGGCCGGGTTGGCAGGTCTGGTGTCGACGTGGGTTGGTGGGGGTGGTGCGTTTGGTTGTGATGGTTCTCTGATCTCGACTGGGTGGCGAATGTCTTATTGGGTGTTTGTGGGTGTTGTGTGTAATGGGACAGGAGAGTCGTCATTTTTAAGGGTTGTGGCCCCAACAGGGGGTGGGTGTGCACGGGGGGGTCGTCTGTGAGTGTGTTTTGGGGGGGTCGTCTGATTTTTCAACGAGCGAGAACGTCTAATTCGTTAAGTCGGCTCGAAGTAGGGGAGGTCCTCGCCGCGGAAGTCCGTGGCGGCCGAGGTCGAAGTCGGGCGATTGGCCGCTTGCCTTCGGCGTCGCCGTCGTGTGGCAGCCCTAGGAAGGCGGTACTCGAAGAGGGGGGGGGGGGGAAGATCGTGGGTTATGTGCCATGGGGTGTGTGAGTGTATATGGTGGGGGGGGCAGAGGGGGTTGGTGGTGGGTCGAGTTCAGCGCCGCTGGATTGTTCGCGGAGGGGTGACTTGCGAAGGTACCATGGCGGATAGGTGTACCGTGGTTCGTTCGGTGCGACATGACCGGGGGGGTGGGCGAAATCGGTGGCGGCCGGTGTTTCACCGGTCTGGATGGTTGCAGGCGTCTAGGCGTTCGTGGGGGGGTGGGAGGTGTGGGGCCGTGGGGAGTGGGTGTGGCCGGGCGGTGGTGTGACAAGAACCGTAGTCTCCATCTGCGCTGATGGTGGGACGGGGGGGTGCTGCGGCGTGGGTGGGGGTTGCGGAAGGTGAAGTTGCCTGGGGTGGTGGGGGTGAGGGGTGATCTCGTTACGGAAGGCCTTGCCGATCTGGGCGATGCCGAAGGGCAGCTTCTTGCGGGTGGCGGTCTGGACGTTCTGGAAGTTGACGAAGATGCCCTGAGCGGTTTCGGGCCGCAGGAACACCTCGTTGCTGGAGTCTTCGACCGGGCCCATGAAGGTACGGAACATGAGGTTGAAGCGGCGCGGTTCGGTGAAGTCAACCCGCCGCATTCGGGACACGCGTCGGTTTCGAGCTGATCCTGCCGGAAGCGGCGGTGGCATTGGCGACACTCGACCAGCGGGTCGCTGAAGTTCTCCACGTGACCGCTGGCTTCCCAAACCCGGGGATGCATCAGGATGGCGGCGTCCAGGCCCACCACGTCGTCGCGCTCGGAGACGACGGAACGCCACCACGCCTCCTTGACGCTGCGCTTGAGCTCGACGCCCAGAGGGCCGTAGTCCCAGGTAGATCCGAGACCGCCGTACACTTCGCTGGACTGGAAAACGAAACCCCGGCGCTTGGAGAGAGACAGGACTTTATCCATATCGGCATAGGGGAGGGTGCGCGGCATACTGGGACCTCGTTATCAGGATCAGGATCGAGATATGTTATCACTGCGCGGTTGAATGCAGCGGGGAGGGATCAACGCCGGGGTGGCGGATCCGGCTTAATCGGAGACGAAGATCCGCCCAAGTATGACGGTCACGCCGGGAGACCGGAGGCGTTTAAGCCTGGGCGATATCTTCCACCGGTCGATCGCCGGGCAGTTCGCTGCGGACGGCGTCGGCGAGACTCTGCGCGGCCAGGTCGTCGAGCTTGATGTAGCGCGCGGACATGGCGTCGGCGATGTTCCTGGCGAGCTCGAGCTTGATGAAATCCTGCTCGGTGTCCACGACGACGGCGGGGATTTTGGCGGAGGCGACCGTTTCGCTAAGGTGACGCACTTCGTCAGGAAGGTTGAGGACGTTGGAGGACTGGTCGCCGGCGAGGGTGACGTTGGCGCGGCCGTCGGACATCAGCACCAGGAGTGGCAGCACGTCCCGATCCTTCAGGCGTTCGGTTTCGAGAGTTTCCATGGCAAGATAAAGGGCGCGGGCCAGGGGAGTGCGCCCGCCGGTGGGCATCTCCTGGAGACACCACTGGGCCATTTCGACGCTGCCGGTGGGTGGAAGCAGCACCTCGGCGCCGGTTCCCCGGAAAGCGATCAATCCCACACGATCGCGACGCTGGTAGGCGTCGAGCAGCAGCGACATGACCGCGCCCTTGACGGCAACCATGCGACGCTGTGCGCCCATGGAACCGCTGGCATCAACGACGAACAGGATCAGCGAGCCGGTGTGGGTCTCGCGGACTTTTTCACGGACATCCCAAGGTTCTATGAGGAGGGCTGAGGCGTCCCCGTCCGCGGCCTGGCGGCGGGACTGCTGGTGCGGAGCGGCGGCGCGAAGGGTGGCGTCCAGCGCCAGGTCGGACGCGGGGCCTTCGGGGAGGCGGGCGCCGACGTAACGCCCGACCGAGGTGCCGCTCACGGTGGTAGCGCGGCGACCGGAAGAGTGCCGAGCACGCCGGTCGGGAGGCTGGACCTGGAGGTTCTGGACAGCGTAGGGGTCGCCTACCTCGAACCATTCGTCGCCGAGGGCGGCGTCGGTTGGTTCTTCAGCCTGATCTTCGGAAGGGTCGGGTTCTCTATCGCTATCGGAATCGCCGGGGTCGTCATTACCAGAGTCCTGGTCGTTTGACGGCTCCCGGTCGCGCTGCTGGTTCTGGAAGTCGTCGAGCATATTGTCCAGCTGCTCGGTGACGAGATGGGGCTGCTGGAATGGCTGGCGACGTTGGCGGTGGAGGAGGGCCATCAGCGCGGCTTCACGCACGTCTTCAACGTCGACGACGGTGCGACCCTCGTAGGCCGCGATGGTACTGGCGGTCTTGTACATCACGATGTCGCCGCGCAGACCGTCTACCTGGTACTCGGCACAGATGTCGGTGATGAGCTCGAGGATCGAGTCGGGGACGACCACTTCGGCCAGGCGCTGCTGGCTGCTGAGCAACCGCTCCCGCTCGGCCTGTTCGGCGTCTGCCCAACCGTCCATGAACTCAAAGGGGCTGCCCTCGAAAGCGATGCGGCGGCGCACGACCTCGCGGCGTTCGGGGGGTCGAAAACACCGTCAACCTCAACGGCCAGCCCAAAGCGGTCCAGGAGCTGAGGGCGGAGGTCGCCCTCCTCCGGGTTCATGGTGCCAACCAGCATGAACTCCGCGTCGTGGCTGACCGATATGCCCTCGCGCTCCACGTAGTTGCGGCCCATGGCGGCGGCGTCGAGCAGCACGTCGACGAGGTGGTCGTTAAGGAGGTTGACCTCGTCGATGTACAGGATGCCGCGGTGGGCAGAGGCGATCAGCCCAGGCTCAAAATTCTTTTCGCCGGACTTGATGGCCTGCTCGATGTCCAGCGAACCGACGAGACGGTCTTCGGTGGCTCCAACCGGCAGGTCGACGATACGGACCTGGCGAGCGGACGGACCGCCCGGCATTCCGGCCTGCTGGCACCACTGGCACACATCCTGGGGAGCACCGGGCTGGCAACTGTAGGGGCATCCCGGAACAACTGGGACCTGGGGCAGCAGCGCGGCCAGCGAACGGACGGCCGTGCTCTTCGCGGTGCCCTTCTTGCCCCGAACCAGCACGCCACCGATACGGGGGTTGATGGCGTTGAGCAGCAACGCACGCTTCATCGGGGTCTGACCGACGATGGCGGTGAAGGGGAACCTGGGTTCCCGGGCAATGGTGGGCTGGGTCACGAGATCACCGGGTCAGCGGATGAGAGCATCGGATCAGGCGGACGTGGCCCGGGCCGAGCCCGGAACTTGAGGATAGGCATGAACGTCACGCTCGCGATAGTAGCGGTAACCGATGGTGGCGAAGGCGATACCCATCCAAAGGAGGAAGTGGCCGCCAGCGGTGAAGGTGCGGAACATGATGGTGAGTTCGGGGGGCAGCCAGTCGGGAGCGGCGTCGCGCACACCGGGCAAGGCGAACGCGAGGAGGAGGGCCACCACGGTGTAGGCAAATCCGATACCACCGTATCGCAGCCAACGCCCCGAAGCCGCGGAAGTCCGGTTCACCACGCCGACCCCGTACACCACGACCGCGACGGAAAGGGTCGAAACCGCGATGAACAGGAACTGGAAGCCCTGACGGGCCAGCAACGTGCCCTCACTGCCGATGCCAGGCGGGTTGAGCGGGAATTTTATCTGGGTGTACAAGGACACGCCCCAGAAACCCAACAGACCGGCGACCGCGGCCCATGCCCACGGGTTCCAGCCCGGGGTGGCATTGCGCATCAGATGGTACAAACCGGTGAAAACGGCGGCGCAGAGGACGCCGACCACGGCCAGCCCGACGCTCATGCCAATGCGCTGGCCGCCCAGGGATGTCAGGAAAGACAGGGGCAATGGCGCCTCGTCTTCCGCTGCCGCCAATTGCGCGGCGCAGCCGGCCCGATCGATGTCGCATCGCCTTCACAAGGGCGATGGCCCATTCCAATGACGGCACGTGTTTGAACACTGTTCATGTAGTGCGCGACGAGAGAGGCCTACAATTACAATCCCATTACCAGTGGCAGTGGGAGAATACGCGCCTGTCTGAAGCCGCAGGCGATGGACGTCGAACGCATAAGGACCTGCGCCGCCGACGAGGGCGCGGCGCTGGTTTCCCGGTCTCGGGTTGCGGCGGCAAGAGCAGGTATCGATCGGTCAATGAATCCGTCGTTGTTGCTCGACGGTCGATTCGTCGTCACGAGCAGGATGCTGCCTCAGGCTCGGGATTTGTTCTACCGGTTGAACCCGGAGCTTCTGCAACGAGATAAGGCATATATGAAGAATAAAAGAAAGTGATTCCCTGGAGGCCGTAGACCATGTATCGCTTACGCGGCGCCGCGTTGCCGGCGCTATGGTTGGCGCTTTGCGCAGGATGTAGTGCGGATTCGACAGACGGGCAAAGGATGTCGGCGGATGAGGAGGCGCGATTTCTCATTATGCGCAAAAGGATGGTAAGAATACAGATCGAGCGCCGTGGAATCAAGGAGCGGCGCGTGCGGGATGCAATGCTGGGGGTGCCGCGCCACCTGTTTGTACCCGCGCATCTCAAAGAGCGGGCGTACGACGACGGCGCGCTGCCTATTGGCGAAGACCAGACGATATCGCAGCCGTATATTGTGGCGAAAATGACTGAATTGCTGGCCCTGAAAGGCGACGAGAGGGTGCTCGAGGTTGGAACCGGCTCGGGTTATCAGGCGGCCGTTCTGGCAAGGCTCGTGCGTGAGGTGTATACCATTGAAATCGTGCCGTCGCTCGCTCTGCAGGCCGAAGAACGACTCAAACGAATGGGATACGACAACATCAGAGTACGCCTCGGAGACGGGTACCGGGGTTGGAAGGAACATGCCCCTTTCGACGCAGTCATCGTGACAGCGGCGCCCGACCATATTCCGACGAAGCTTGTCGAACAGCTTCGGGAAGGCGGGCGCATGGTGATACCTGTCGGCAACGTCAATCAATACCTGACGCTGCTTGTTAAGGAAAAGGATGGCGTGAGGGAAGAACAGGTCATCCCCGTCCGGTTTGTACCGATGACGGGAGAGGCACAGGCGCAGGAATGAGGAGGGCACTTCTTGATTACAATCTGGGGTATAGGAATTTCGCTGGTTTTCCTGCTTTGTTATCTTGGTCAGTCCATTTCTTCAGGTATGGCGGGACGACGTGCGAAACTGCTTCAATGGGCATGCTGGATGGTGGCAAATACCACGATGCTATCCTGCTATCTGCTAACGCGTTCGATTACGCAATGACCTATCGGGAGGTAAAACGGCACCTGGACAAACCGGGACGCCGTTTTTGTTTGCGAGCCCGTCGTGCAGAGGCCGGGTTGCGTGGTACTCAAATATGTCAACACACGGCCCGGTCGGGTGGGTGAAATGGCGTTTGAAACCGGGTCCGTTACGTACGGATACTATCGGCACGGGGCCGGGTATGTATTGTGGAAAATGTACGATCCGGCCGGCCGGCTACGGGGCCATCTCTTTCACATCTGCAAGAACCTGAAGGTGGGCGATCAGTGCGTCAATTTCCTCGACCTGATGCTGGACCTCTGGTTCGATTCAGCGGGTCGGCTTTCGGTTCTTGATCGGGATGAACTGGAAACCTACGAGAGGCGTGGCGTGCTCGGCAGGCAGGATATGAAATGGATCGCGATGCAGGAGCGCGCAATTGTCGCTCGCGTGGACGAGATTCTGGCGGACTTTGATGATATTCTTGCTCAGGTGTAGTGTTCTGTCCCGGAAATAGATTGCCTAATTTCGGCCGCCGAGCGAAGCCAACGCAGTGAGACGGGATGAATCGGCGGATGAATGGTGACATATTTTCTGGGACGGGACAGTAGGTCCGATCAGCGACGGCGCGATTTCTCGACGTCCGAAAACAGGGATTGACAGGTTGTCTTCATGTATTCCAGGAAGGAATCACCAATGGCGGGGTGCTCCAGGGCAAATGCAACCGTTGTTCTCAGATACGAGAGCAGGTCTCCAACCGTGTGCCAATCCCCTTCAACTGCGCACGCGTACACGGGTCGAGATTGAATCATCAGCTGAATGGCGTCGGTGAGTTGATACTCGCCATTTTCCACGGGGGTGATTCGATCCAGAAATTCGAAGATATCGGGTTCGAAGATATACCGACCGAGGCAAGCGAGATTTGAGGGTGCCTGCGCCGGGTCGGGTTTTTCCACCAGGCCCTTCACGAGATATGCCCCGTTAATGGATTCGGCTTGGATCACGCCGTAGCTGCCGACAAGTGCGGGAGCCACCTCTTTAACGGCCAGAATCGACGCGCCGAATTTGCCGAATTGATCCATCAGTTGCCCGATGCACGGACGTTCGGACACCACCAGGTCGTCTCCGAATAACACTGCAAATGGTTCGTCACCGACGTGCTTGCGGGCCCTGAGGACGGCGTGACCCGTACCAAGAAGCTCTCTCTGTCGGAGATAGTGGATGTCGGCGAGTTGCTCGATGCGTTCAAGGGTTGCGAGCATCGAGCGGTCTTCCCGCTTTGCCAGGGCGTTGTGAAGTTCGACATTGCGGTCGAAGTGGTCTTCTATGGCCCGTTTGCCTCTGCCCGTGATTATCAGAATGTCTTCGATGCCGGCTTCTACAAGTTCTTCGATGACGTACTGTATGGCTGGTTTGTCTACAACCGGCATCATCTCTTTGGGCAGGGCTTTGGTGGCCGGCAACATCCGGCTGCCGTGCCCGGCCGCCGCGATCACCGCCTTGCGAATCTTCAAAGACAACCTCCGTTGTGGTGAGGCAAATGAGTAAGTGCTTAACATATATTGGTTTAAATAAGGAATGTTGTTGCGTTTTTGTCAAGTGGATTTTGTCTCTCGCACCGCCTGAGTCTGGCCTGCAAAGCGCTTGACATTGGGCGCGCAATGGGTTATTTTGAGTTGGCTGAGTCACTTGTCTCTCAGTCCCGTCGCCATTCTATGCGACGGGTGCCTTCCCCCTTTTTCTACTTCTTCCTCGCCGAATATTCTGCTGCAAAGTGCGCCATCGGAATGAATCCCCGTGTCGGATTGTGCAATAATGAACCTGTCTGGACGGAATGCTGTCTACTGCCTGGGGCGTACTGGCCTCGGCAGGGGGAACCAATCTGCAGGCGATACTCGACCGGAGCGCTTCGGGTCGGCTGCCGGCGCGTGTGGGCGTTGTGATCGGCAACAACAGCCGATCGGGCGCTCTGGCCCGCGCACGCCTGTCTGGCATTCCCGCATTCCACCTGAGCGGTGTGACGCACCCGCGACCCGGCGCCCTCGACCGGGCTATCACGGAAACGCTCAGGTCCCACGGCGTCGACCTGCTGGTTCTGGCGGGTTATATGAAGAAACTTGGCCCCGTGACGCTCGAGAACTATAAAGACCGGATCGTCAACATACACCCCGCGCTCCTTCCCGCATTCGGCGGCAAGGGGATGTACGGACACCGTGTCCACGAAGCCGTCGTCCGGAGTGGCGTCGAGGTCTCCGGTGCGACCGTGCATCTCGTGGACGGGGAATACGACACCGGTCCGGTTATTTTGCAGCGAAGGGTCCGCGTTTGCGCCCGAAGATTCGCCCGATTCCCTCGCACGCAAGGTACTGGCCGTGGAGCACGAGTTGTATGCCGAAGCAATCGGTTTGTTCGCGGAAGGCAAAATACACGTCCATGGCCGGGAGGTCCGAATTCTAAACTGAATTTCTGTCCCGGAAACAGATTGACGAAATTCGGCCGGCGAGTTGCCCGGCTCGCAAGGCAAAGCAGCGAGACGGGATGGACCGCCCTGCCTGTGCGGAAGACCTGCACGCAGACAGGCGGAAGGATGGTGACATATTTCCGGAACAGGACCCTTGAGGAGGTTGTGCGTCCATGGCGATGGTGTTGACGGAGACGAGGTTGGATGGCGTGCCCCTGTTTGCCAGGGGCAAGGTCCGCGATGTCTACGATTTGGGAGATCGACTTTTGATTGTGGCGACGGATCGAATCTCGGCATTTGATTGTGTCGCGCCCAACGGCATTCCGGGAAAGGGCGCTATTTTGACAGAGATGTCTCTCTTCTGGTTCGAGAAACTCGCACATCTGGTCGCCCATCATCTGATTACGGCGAGCGTAGACGAATATCCTTCTGAGTTGCAGGCTTATCGGGAACAGCTCGAATCGAGGTCGATGCTGGTGATGAAGGCCGACCGGGTGGATATCGAGTGTGTCGCACGGGGATATCTTGCCGGATCCGGATGGAAGGATTACACAGAAACCGGCGCCGTATGCGGGGTACAGCTGCCCGACGGGCTCGAGGAGTCCGGTCGGCTGGACCGGCCGATCTTTACGCCGGCCACGAAAGCCGTAACCGGCCACGACGAAAACATCTCGTTCGAACAGATGTGCAACGTCGTGGAGCCGGGCCTTGCGTCCCGGTTGCGGGATTTAACGCTGGAGATCTACGCCGCCGCCCGTACGTTCGCCGAGGGCAAGGGCATTTTAATAGCCGATACCAAGTTCGAATTCGGCCTTCGGGACGGTGAAGTGATCCTGATCGACGAGATCCTTTCCCCGGATTCTTCCCGCTTCTGGGACCGGGAACTCTATGCACCGGGCCGATCGCAGGACAGTTTCGACAAGCAGTTTGTCCGCGATTATCTGGAGACCCTCGATTGGGACAAAACCCCGCCCGCCCCGGAGTTGCCAGACGAGATTGTCGAGAAAACCCTGGACAAGTATCGCGACGTTCGAGATCGATTGCTTGGCTAACCCGTTAGGAACTGAATCTCTATGGCATTCTTTCTTTCCAGACTGCTGTCCAACGACATTGGTATTGATCTGGGTACGGCCAATACCCTGGTTTATGTCAAAGGACAGAATATCGTGGTAGATGAGCCTTCGGTGGTGGCGCTGGATCGCAATTCCCACAAACCGCTGGCCATCGGCTCTCACGCCAAGCAGATGATGGGGCGCCAGAACCCGGATATTGAGGTGATACGTCCACTTCGGAACGGAGTAATTGCCGATTTCGATGTGACCGAAGAGATGCTTCGGCATTTCATTCGAAAGGTACAAAAAAACAGGCTTCTCGTACGCCCGCGAATCGTGATATGCGTGCCTTCGGGGGTGACCGCCGTCGAAATGCGCGCCGTCCGGGAGTCCGCGGAGCGTGCGGGCGCCCGTGAGGTGTATATCATCAAGGAACCCATGGCGGCAGCCATAGGGATCGGCCTGCCCGTGGAAGAGGCAGTGGGGTCCATGGTGATTGACATCGGAGGCGGTACCACCGAAATCGCGGTGATTGCCCTGTCGGGCATCGTGACCTCGAGGTCGATCAAAATAGCGGGAGATGGGATGAACCAGGCAATTATCACGATGCTTAGACGCAAACACAATCTTCTGGTTGGAGAACGGAGCGCGGAGCAGATCAAATGTGAAATCGGTTCTGCCGGGAAACTGGATAGCGAATTCCAGCATCCTTGCCGCGGTTTGGATACGGTCAGCTTTATCCCGAAAACCATTATCGTCGATTCGGTCGAAATTCGGGAGGCTCTCAATGGGACGGTGAATTCCATTCTGGAAGCGGTGCGCCAGACCCTGGAGCATACACCGCCTGAACTCGCTGCCGATATTCTCGATCGTGGCATCATTATGACGGGTGGCGGTGCATTGCTGCGCGGGTTGGACCACAGGCTGATGGAGGAAACCGGCTTGCCGGTGATCGTGGCAGACGACCCGCTCACCTGTGTTGTCCGCGGCACCGGGCGCGTTCTTGAAAATATCGACCAGTATCAGAAGTTGCTATTGTAATCGATAATGGTTTGGATGACCGATGCAACGGCTGCTTGGCTTTATACATGGACACCGGGCTCTTGTCGTGTTGGGCGTGGCCATCTTTGTTTCTCTGAGCTTCATGGCGCTCAGCCAATCTGATGCGTTGGAATTGGCAAGAGGCATCGCCACCGGGCTTATGAAAGCCGGACACGGATTGTTCTCATGGCCCATGGAACTCTCCAGGATGCGCCATGAAAATCATATCTTGCGGGAACAGAATCTGCGGATCTCGCTCGAGTTGCTGGAACTCCGTGAAGCGCGGATGGAGAATCTTCGGCTTCGCGAGTTACTCGACTTTCGAACGAAGGCCGAAGGCACCTATCTGGTGGCAAAGGTGATGGCCCGGGATCCGAATCGCGTACTGAACACGGTACTTACTTACTTTACTGCCTGATTCGGGTGCGCGGGCGTGCCGGGGTGGCGAAACGCATGCCGGTGGTAACCGCTGACGGGCTCGTCGGACGTGTACTTGAAGTTCACCCCCGGACCTCCGTGGTTCAGTTGTTGCTGGATCGCAATTGCAGAGTGAGCGCGATCGTGCAGCGTAACGAACGGACGTCAGGAATTGTAACGTGCGAAAACGGCAGCTTTTTTTTGAGGCATGTGTCAGTACGAAGCGAGGTGTCCGAGGGCGATAGGATTATTTCCTCGGGCCTGGGCGGTGTGTTTCCCAGGGGTCTCTTCATTGGCACGGTAACCCGGGTGGGCGAAACCGATCAGGCGCTCTTCAGGGAAGTTCAGCTGATACCCGGCGTCAATTTTTTTAATCTGGAGGAGGTCTTCGTACTCAAGCCCGCGGCAGCCAATAATGGCAATGAGGGTTGAGCGCGTCGGGCACGGCTCGGCAACCGGCGCGCCGCTTTCCCCTTGCTAGGAACGTACGGCTTTCTTAATTTCCCTGAGGCGTTTGGCTTCAGGGGATTTTTTATATTGTGCATCCAGCGGGAAACAACCCGATATCAGTCCGTACCGAGGCGCGGTGGTGCAATCGCTGAACGTCCGACAAATGACTCGGGTGTTTAATTTTCCGCTTCTGAGGACGTCCAGAGGAAGCTGTGGGTAGGAAAGGACCATCCTGCCCAGTCCGATAAAGTCAACGTGCCTTTCGCGTACGAGGGCTTGAGCGACGTGCGGCAGGAATTCCTGAAGGTAAGAATACCCCGTACCCACGACGATCAGGTTGGGATGCCGCGTCTTGATCCGCCGGACGACGTCGATCTGGCGTGCGACGCCCACAAGAGGGTCTTCAGGCGGTTGGTATCCATCTGAAGGGGGATAATACGCGGGCCGCTGAATGTGGGGGTTGTAATAACGTGCTTGCCCGCGCAAGATTGAACAGCCGTATATTCATTTTTCAAGCATTCCAGAAACTGATAGGGTTCGGTGAGATCCGGAACGACGGGCATGGACGGGTTGGCGCCGAACGCGAATGCATAGGGCAGGCAGTGGCCGAAGTCTTCCGGAATGCCAGGTCCCTGTTTGCGACCTTCTGATCGTTTCGGATCCGGTCGAATACGGAAAAATTCATAAAATCGCTCAGACTTAACGCCAATTTGGAGATCCGGAGCAACGGCCCGGATGCCCTGGACAATTTCCCGGAGGAAACGCGTCCGGTTCTCAAACGTGCCGCCATAGGGACCGCTACGGGTAACGGCACTCAGGAATTCGTGGCCCAAATATCCGTGGCAATGCTTGATGTCCACGAATTGATAGCCCAAATCAGCGGCCATTCGGGCGGCCGTCACATAGTCGTCGATAACGGATCGTATCTCGCCGTCTGACATCACGGGGTGATTCGGATCCAAGCCGAATTTTCGGTCAAGGATGGGATGACGGTCCAGGATCCGGGGTTCCATCCTGCCTGCGTGTGTGGGTCGGCAGAACCGTCCCCCCCGAGTTGCGTGAGTCGGCAGCCCCACCAACCGTCGCCGTGGTCCCCGCCAACGTGCAGTCGGTGGGCCTCACGAAGTGTCTCCAGCAGTTCGCCGAGGCCGTTTTCGGGTATGGTCAGCGGCGTACAGCTGGTTGGGGTTTGCGCGTGCTTCGGGTCGAACGGCGATCGCCTCGCCTCCCCAAATGAGTTTTGCGCCGCTGAGACCGAAATGGCGCCACCGGCGACGGGTGTTTTCCGACGGATTGCCGTCCGTAAGGCCGTCCCAGCCTTCCATCGGATGAATTGTTGCAAACCGATTGCCGATGGATGCCGGAGTGAACGGAAAAGGCTGTGCGAGCGGAGATTCGGACGCGGTGAGGATGTCCTGGTCGCAGGGCAACTCCAAACGCAGGGTCTCGAGGCGTTTCCGAAACGCGTCGACGGTCTTCAGGTGTCCAATGCGGGACGATTTCTTCCGGTTGTCAGAGTTAAAATCCCCCGGCTGCGGTCGAATGCGGTCGCGGTTTTCCCGAACGTGATTTTCTTCCGCCGGGGTTCAGTGTCGTTCCCGTTCAAAAACCGAAAGACAAAGTACAAATTTCGGTTCGGGCAATGACCACGGGTCAAAAAAAAAAAAAAAAAAAAAAAACAACCGGTCAGACAGCGGTGTTGGAAACCCTGTGTGGCACGAACCTGTATCACCGCCCGCACATTTGCTGTCTCCAAATATAGTGAATCGACAATGACGGCGCAATTCTCCATTCTGATCGGGAGACGGGTATGACATTGGCGCACGGCACACGAGTCTGGTGTTCCCGCCGTGACTTCGTGGAGTGTACGGGCAGAGGAATCTCCGTAGGGGAGAACAACGTTCGGCTCAGGCGGGGGGTTACGGTCGCGGACGAAATGGGCAACTGCAGTCTGAACGATCGGGAGGCCGTCTTCGGACTGCGGCAAGCCCGAAAGATATTCTCCATCCCCGCATTGGGCGCTTCCCGCGCGCTCCTGTGCCCGTATCTCCAGTGTGACACAGCCGACGGGGAGTTGGAGATTGAAGTGAACGGTCATTCACTGACGGTCGGCTGGCCCGGCGACCGTACTTATTGGGAGGACCGTTGGCGGCCACTGGAGATTCCTGCCTGCTGGCTTAGCGCGGGCGAAAACGAGGTGAAATTCAGAGCGGTGGCCGATGCGGCCTGGACATTGTTGGTGGAAGAGAGCGTTCAGCCAAAGCGAAGCGCCGTCAGTGAAGATGGCGGTCAGACCTGGCGTTCCGGGGATATGGGCGTAAACGACCGCGCTTGCGGAGAATATATGGTTCGGCTCTGGCTGGATCAATATGCGGAGGCAGGCGAGGTCTGTTCCAGTGCGGTGGATCTGCTTGGTCTTGTCTCCACGGGTGGGATTGCCGCCGCGGGCTGCGTGACCACTATCCGGTTGTCGGCCGACGTTCGGACGCCCGCGGGTTGCACCCGGCCTGCGTGCGGCGTCCGTGTCCCGGTTTACAATACAGCCCGAAAATCTGGACGGCGTGGGCGCCGGCATCGGAAACGATAGAGCCGGCCAGCCCCATGCGGTTCCTGCAATGGCGTATCGCGATGCAGTCAGGTCAACCATCGATGACGCCGGAGGTTGAGCGAGTATCCCTTTCGGTAGCGGCACGGGCTACACAGCCGATGGCGAGGATCGTGGATTCCGACAACCCGGCGCTGGTTCGGAGTTCCTATCGGTTTTCCCACTTGCCGGCGGATTCAAAACGGGGACAGATTCTGCGGGAGCGCTGGAAACTGGACGATGTGATCCGCCCCGCAAAGTCCGAGTTCGAGGCGTTCCAGCATTTGCGGCAGTGGGTGAGGGAGCAGTGGGAGGACGGCTGGAACATGGGTGAAATTGAATTCTGCCCACCCTGGGACGCCATGGTGATTCTGAGCCTTGCGAGTCGCAAATTAAGCCTCGGAATGTGCACACACTACGCCACCGTGATGTCGCACTGCAGCGCCGCACTGGGATTTACGGCGCGTACTCAGATAATGCGTTCACATTGTATCAACGAAGTCTGGTCGAGCCAGCACGGCAAATGGGTGGCAATGGATGTCGGTGGAGATAGCAACGACGAGACGAAATTTACATACCATTTTGAGCGCCAGGGGGTACCGCTCACCGCGCTGGAGGCGCACCGGGCGTGGGTGGAACGGGATTACGAGGACGTCAGGATCGTGCCCGAGCCGCCGGCTGCGGTCTCGGTGCAATTCCAGGTGGCCAAGCGCTTGAAACTGTTCGAACGCTTTATGATTTCCCTTCGAAACGACGAACTGGAGACCATGGGCCCGGGAGAGCCGGAGCATGGCAAGATTTCGTATCATTTCAATAGATACCTCTTCTGGCAGGACGCGGAAACGCCCGGGTTGCCGTGGTTCTCCGAGCATACGGAGCGACCGGAAGACCTTTACTGGACGCCCAACCGGGCGGCGATTCATCTGCAACGGGGCGTTGGTACAAATGAGCTTCACGTGCTGCTGGATACGGAAACCGCGAATCTAAAGGGATTTGAAATACGGATCGACGACGAAGAGTGGCAGGAAAGTTCGTCGGCCTTCACCTGGCGTCTCAATCCGCAGGTGAGCAGGCTGGCTGTAAGGCCGGTGAATGCATTCGGGAGGCTCGGGGCGGAGAGTTCTGTCGTTGTTCGGGGAGTCCCACTTCCGGTTGACCATTCGGTATTGGACGGAGGGTGAATGGACAGAATCGCAATGGAGAATTACGGTACATCAATGGTGCGGCCCGACGATTTCGACTCATTTTGGGACGATGTTGCTCAACCACCACGTGAGACCGAATCCTCGACGCCATCCGGGGTGCGCGGCAGCGCCCCTCAGGGTCGACGCCCGACGTGGATGTTTTCGACGTCCATTTCGACAGTATCGAAAAAACCAAAAAAAACGAACCTCCCCCTCCCCTTCCCTCCCTCCTCCTTCCTCCAATCTATCCCCCCTCTCCCACACCACCCCCCTCCCTCCCCTCCTCGCCCTACCCTCCCCCCCTCCACCCTCTTCTCCTCCCCTCTCACCGCCTCGCCCGGCCCCCCTGCGCCACCTCCTCCCCC